CTGCTTGAGTTCTCTTGTAGGTGTCCTCAGCTCAACAGTAATAACAGCAAAAGGAGGGCTTAAAAATGTGACATCAATGTACGCAATGCTGTTCCTTCACCTGTTAATTAGCTGTATGTCTTGTAACTGCATTATAATACATGTCTTCAGATGGATTACAGATGTAACGTTTTAAATTGACTGGGCGATATGAGGAAATCTAATATCACAATAATTTCTGTTGTATCACAATACACGATATATATAAAAATATGTTTAAATAACCTCAATTTTTACAAAAAATCTGAATGAATTGAAATGTTTTATTTTAACCATTTTTAACTATCAGTTGCCCACAGAGGTTTTTCACTAATGACAATACTGTCACAGTAAATCTCCTTCTGTGGTCAACACTAGACCTTCAACAAACAAAAGATCATAGCAGCAAAAAAGTACATCAAGCAAGAATTCAAGAGAAAAATAAAACCATCTAAATTAAAATGGTGCTTATAACATATAAAAATGGTAAAATAAAAAATGTGATGGCCTCAAATTACAGAAACAAAAGTCTAGATAGTGACTATTAAAACAACTGGCCAAGAACATTCACAGCTATCACAGCTGGTTTATTTAATGTGGGCTTTTGTGCAGGGAAATGCTGACATGCAGAGTTTAAAACATTCTTCATTTTGCAGTGGATGATTATTCAGCTGGTGGGATAATTTCGTGGTACTGCTACCTTTAGCGACTATCCGACCTTTAAGTGATGACGTGATAACCCTGCTTCTGGGTCCAAACTACTCTGCGTTTATTAAGGCTGTTGTGTTTTTAACATGTTTTAATGCTTTGTATCTTTTTCTGTTTAATCTCAACAAGCCCCTAAAAACAGTCAGCGATCACTGTCGGCCTCTCTCGGTTTTTATTACCACTGTTCATTTTAAAGCTCAGTTTTTAAAACCTTACGATGTAATTACAGCCTAGGCCATGCAGCAGTATATTAATGGCTAACCTCGTATTGTGGATGGATTATCTCAGTTGTTCTCCAGACTGAAGTTTGGTCCTTTTAGAGCATCCTGCCATGCAACTGCTTTTGTCCCTAACCATCGGGAACATTCACATTAACTTTTATCGAGTGGAAACAAAGTTAGTGTTCATCCTCCTCCAGCTTCACTGTGCTAATGTGTTTATAGTATGCAAACCATAGCTGTGTAGCTAGCCACCACGTAGCACATCATTAAATACCAGCTAGCCCAACTTCAGTAACCCTACAAATGTCATTACTGTTTAGTTTTCTGTCTACATTAATGTCGGAAGCAATAGCAGAGCTATGCGTTTAAATTTTTCAACTCTCAGTGATGCCGCAGTGTTAATTTGACTTTGGATCTGAAGCAGAGGTTGGACCTGAAAACGGCTAATGATGTCACACTTAAAGACCAGATAGTTTCATGGCATGTTTTGCAAATTATGCATTTTGTTCAACGTCCTCCTTATGAAATTTTTTTTTTTGGATTGTTGTATTTCCTCGCTTTTCTATCTGGGACAAATATAAATAGTATTCTCAGCGCAATGTGCCAGGTAGAAAATTTTCCTTTTGGGAGGTGGGATTAATGATGCATTCACAGAAAAAACTCACAGTGAATGAATGCAGACAGCTTCATATTTCCATGTCAATTTATACTTGATGGTTACAATAAAGTCATTTTAACCATCGTGCGTGGAAAAACTTGCGATACATCGAGTATATTCGATATATCGCCCACCCCTGTGAAATAGAAACAGCAACCAGCAATCCTTTAAACTTCTCCTTTATCATAAGGGGTCACCACAGCAGGTAGTTCTGCATGTTTGACTTGGAGTTTTATGGTGGATGCCTTTCCTGAGAAGATCCCAAATTTGTGTGTCCAGCTGAAAATGAACCACTGACCTTTCACCTGCCATTTAACTGTGCAAACCACTACACTACATTTCTTTTTAGTTTGTTTCAAAGGAGCGAGTGAGCAGACTTGAGCAACAGATTTCAAGGATTTTTGAAAGCCTTCCATTCAAGCATAGAAACAGCACCTAACGCAAGGGATGTCCAGTAGTATTGTGTCTACACAACGTTAGCAAAAAACTAATCATTAACCAATATTCAATCCTATCTCAAACAATTTAAATCCATAAAAGCATAATTTGTTTGCATCTCTTTAGCTGAATCTATAAAAATTGCAAATATAACAGTCTGAAATGGTGTCACTGAAAGGGTGGCTCGGAAGCAGATGATTTGCTCCTAAACTCCTAAAGGGATCACCCCCCCCCCCCCAAAAAAAAAAAAAAAAACCAGAAACAGCTACTACACTACAGCTATGTGTAGAACATGGTGGAGGCTCTGTTATGGTTTGAGATTGCATTTCAGCAAATGGTGTTAGGGATCTATTAGCAAAAACTACCATCAGAGTTTGATTCTTCAACAAATGCTTCATTTTTGGTTCATTTTTCATCGTGACAATGATCCCAAATACACTGTCCATGCATTAAAAGCACACCTGGATAGAAAACATATAAAGGAGCACTATCATTCCACACTATTTCAGTAATATTCAGACTTGAATATTACTGAAATAGTGTGGAATTTGGAGAGAGACAAAAGACAGCTAGCATCCAACGAAGAGCTTTGGAATGCCCTTTATGAAGCCTGGACAACTATTCCTGCAGACTACTTAAAGAAATGACAAGAATGCTTGCATGAAGGTTCAGGCTACATTAGAATGCACTGTTATGCAAGATGGAAAATTTTAGGGGGGGGGAGTATCAGAGAGGGTTATGTTTTCTTTTCATTTTACTTAGCACTTTAGGTGACCCAAAGCATTTCTGGATTTCCTTAACCCCGAAATCAAACATTAAACTAGTTTTTGTGAAAATGATGTACAACCAAACTGTCCTCACTTTCCAAAAAGGGCCACCATCTGAAGGTCCAAAATTGAAAAAGGATAGTAGTGCAACAACAAACATACACAGTCTCCTCCATCCCCTCTATTTCTCCCTTCCTGTGTCCGGTCAGAGTAATGGATGGCATATCTGTTGCTTACTCATGCATACAGCTGACAAATTGTCCCTCTCTGATCACAGCCCCGCTGCTGTGTGATTTGTGAAAGACAGCACACGACAAGATGAGTCGGCAGCTCAGATTGAAAAAGGGCACCGGGGATACAGACAAACTAGTCCAAAAAGGTGCATTTGAAGAAAATTATATATCTGAGGGCTTACGGGCCGCCGGAGTGCGGATGAGCTGCTTCTGTGGGTGAGTGCATGCACATGTGAGTAAGATTACAGATACGTGAGACATGTTTTTTTGCAATGACCTTGGTGTGGTGGAAAATTTTCATCTCAGTACATGTGTATGATGGTATACAAATTCACACAAAAAGCTTCCCAACAAGGGCAGAATCTCTAAGATGCACATAAACCATAATGCGTGACTTTTGGAGACTGGTTTTACATGTAAGACAGGCCACATATTGTGCACCAGTCCCTATTTAAAGTGTATGATATGACCCAAATACAGTCCAGCAGTCCCTGCTTACAGTGTAATTTAACCCACATACTACTCGCTGCTCCCTGGACCTGGTATCATAATATAACCCACATTCTTGCAAGCACACTCTAATCCTGTCCCTGTTGCTGGCAGTTTTGTGCATACGCTAAACAAACTGCCCCAGGTTAAATCTTAAAAATCTAAATATTTCATAAAAGTTTAAGTTTGCATGAAAATAAAAGAGAATGCAACCATGTTAAAAGGCTACCACATTTATAAGATCAAGTAATTTAACTTCAACTAAAGGCTGCTAAATGAATCCTTTTGTCAAAAGTTTATCAAATCCTTCCTTCTGAATTTAAAAAGTTGTTGTTTTTTTTGCCCTGGTTTGCTGAGTCTGCATCTTTAGTACAAAGAACACTGCTATATTTTACTTGATCAGATCTAGAATTTTCCAGGGCAGCAGTTAAAGTTATATTGGTCCAATTGTCATAGAAATTTGGCCAAATCTGGCTGACTGGCAGCGTTGGCTCAGAGTCAAATAGGTGGAGTATCTTTCCTCAGCCCAGTGTAAAATCTCTGGGTCAGGGATGTCAAACTCATGTTATCTGTTTGATAAAATGTTCGATCTTAAGTGGCCTGAACCAGTGAAACCCCCCTTTCTGTTAGTGTAAAGAACTTTAACTACACATTTAACTGGGATATTTTAATACAATTTCAACAGTACATCAGTTTCTCTATAGCTAAATGCTGCTGCCAATAAAAGAAATATGTCCGGATATGACTCTTTGGGCTTAAAATTGTAAGAAGTAAATGTGTAAAATTACAATTTTACAGAAAATGTTCTGCTAGCTCATTGCTCAGACTGAAAGACTGAAATGGAAAGTTTTTGTTAATTCACAGAAAATGTCCTTTTTTAAAAGAAAAAACATTCATTGTAAAAACAGAAAATTCTTTAGCAGATAGTGAGAAAACAGGAATTTCTAGATCATTAAATGCTTTGGTGTAGTATGAATGACCGTGGGAAAGGTCTTTATCAGTAGGGAAACCTATAAAAATAAAAATACAGTCCAAAATTGATTAACTTTTTCCAAAGCTGTCCAGAAGGCCAGATTAGACTCTTTGGTGAGACAATTCTGACCCTGGACCTTATGTTTGACACCCCTGCTTTATGTATTCTTTTCAGGCTGTACAGGCATTTTTCGCTAGTAAACTAGTCCAGCATGTATGAAACTAGAGAGGGAAAAAGAAAATGCACCAAAGCAGGTACAGCTGCACACTGTGTGCTGCTGTGACTGAGACGTGTGCCTTTTTATTTATCAACTTAGATCTTCTCATGTGGAATGAAGTGACTGACTAGTAAAAGAACAAGATTTTTGTCACACAACCTTTAACAGCAAAGGTAAGCTGATACTTTTGACACAATAAAGTCTCCAGTCATCACTCCAAAACAGTGGTCCCAGCTCTTAATGTGAAACACGTTTGCTGGTCATAGAATTTCACTCACCAAAGTTGTAGGACAAACCTCTCAGAGGGGCTGTACCTCACAGTCAGCCATATTATTTCAGACAGTTCCATTTAAAAAATCCTACGAAAGACAACAAAAGGACAAATATGATCAAGAGGTCCAGTTTGGTCATGTGAATTAGCAGAGGTGATGCTTACCAGCCACCAATTTGGAGAACACCTGTCAAAGAAAGCAGACACTGCACTAAATTCAATCCAAATGGATGTCTTATAATGAAATTCACAGTTGTTGCGTTGGGGGAAATTAGCTATAGAGACCAAATGTTTGTTTTTACCAGTCTTATTGCTTGGTGGAAAAAAGGTGTAAGAAAGATCCACTTCTTGGTAAAGGTTTATTTGGGACCAGTTGCAGAATACACACACAGAACCCTCTAATGTGCACCTGAAATGGTAGGAACATAAAAAAGATATGCTTTAAGGGTCCAACAGTGCACTTGGATGTTATATGGCCATTACATCACTGCATTTCTTCCAACCATTAGAACCTAACTGGTGGACTTGTGTTTCAAGGTTTGAATGTTTAAGTACAAACTTCAACTTATAGTATTTACTAGCAACAAAAGGAATCATATATAGATGTTTCAAGCATCTTTCAATCTTTAGAAACGAACGTGTCCTGTGTACTAAGTAAGTCAGCACAATACTGACCCAACGTTGTGAACATAATTACAGCCTAATCATCTGGCACAAAAGCCAAAAAGAAGCTTATGTTCCTAATGTGATCCTTAAAATCATAGGCCAACGCAGTCAAGCTTCCATAAATTAGCCTACTTTATGACGAGCCGTGAGCCATTAGGAGGAAGGGGGGAAAAAATCAAAGAGTGAAAGATAAAGAAAATAAAGGGGAGAAGGTACAAAGGGGCAGGAGTGGGGGTGAACGAGGCCTTTGCTAATTCAGAACACTAGTCGGAGCATTGTGCCAAGTCTGCCTCCCCTCTGAACCCCCCGCCTCCCTCCTTCCAACCTCTTCTCTTTCTTTCAAAGGGCCAAGGGGAGGCTGCAGCTTTCTAGTCATAAACATCTCTCGGGTAGGTCTGCACTGGGCCTTTGCCACTTTACATATTTGCTTATTTGAGAAAAAAAGCAGAACGAAAAAAGAAAGCTATTCTGGCTCAAAATCTGCTTCTCTCTCACCCTCTTTCATTCTCTGTCTGATCATTCCTCAAGGCCAGAGTTGAGGCTGTGATAGAGATTAGGACAGCAGCGCTACTGACAAGGCAGCTAAATCTACACCGGCTGACAAACCTGGCAGTCGCAGTGTTTGGAGAAGGGTTGTTAAAAAAGAATCAGAGGGGGGGGGGGGTTGACTAATAGCGAAAAGAGAGAAAAAGAAAGAGAGAGATGAGGGTCAGGAAATGGAGCATTTTGAAGGGGGCCAAAATGGTTGATTGGGGAGACTGATCAGTCCTGATTTAAGGCAGATGTAGGGCTCTCGCACGGTTGATTTAGCTTTACTAAAAGAATGTGTGCATTCCTGCATGTGTGTATACATTAGCAGCAAGTACTGTACATCATGCATGTGTGGCTGTTTAAGGCTGACTAAACAATCTGTGTACACAAGAGGGTGTGAGTGGTGCGCAGCCCATAGGGACTCTCGCAGACAAACAGTCTACACTTGCAAAGTGCTGAATTCACAACACTTCAAGAGCTACCACTTTCCTGTGGTGAAACCACACGGCAGTAGTCGCCACTGTCGGACACAATATGGTGTCCATATGCCCATGATGACATCCAGATGACTTGATTCAAGGGAACTTCACGGCAAGGAGTCGTGTTGGGTCTGATTAAACCACTCGAGCAGGGCACATTTAAAGGACAAGTCCACAGCTTTGTCTTGGAACAATAAGGTTTCCATATGTGGAAATGTAGGAATGTGATTCCAGTAACAGAGATGGCAGATCTTGACTTGTGACATGTAATACAGGAATACAGCAGAACGATGTAACTTATATATGTCGGATAGTTTATCACAGCCTTTCCCAAAGTTGAGAGTGCAGCAGCGTCCTTAAAAGGAGACAGAAGATCCCACAGGCCCAATCTTAAATCTGCACTCTAATCAAATTAAAAGAGAACTTCATGGATTTCCTTGAAATTCTTATTTTAAAAAAATGCAAATAACACAGGCTGCTGGCTATAAATTGCTAATGCGACCCAGTCAAATGCAAAGTGTTAAGGGCAACGTGTGACTCGCCTGCCACTGGGACACAAACTTCAATAGAAGAACAGTAAATTTTGGTCAGAGTATTGAGCCAACTAACCAGGGTTTTACTTCACTTTTTATAGAAATAAATACATTTATTACATATGAAAACGTATAAATTTTTGATCACTTTCAAACTGAATTTGTGTTATTACTGGAGCCCACCTGCAGTACCTTCACAATCCTTAACTTAACGAAACATAAAAGCTCAGTCTTAGTGGTTGGGTTCGCATTATGTTAACACGCCACAGTTTTTCAGCATGCCGCTGAAACGAGACACAACCCTAACCTTAGATAGGTCATCTTTCTTTTTAACACTCCACTCCAGGCACCTGTCATGGTGACAAGCAGTGTTGGGCAAGTTACTTTGAAAAAGTAATTAATTATAGTTTCTAGTTACTTCTTCAAAAAAGTAAATGAGTTAGTAATGGAGTAATAAATTACTTGAAAAGTAACTATTGCGTTACTTTAAAAAAAAACAAAAAAACATTGGCCATTTTGTACTATTTTAGATTTTACCCATAAAAACTTTTTACTTTGCCTGGTTTGGTATCATCCTTTTCAGCACAACCTCACGTGTCTGAATTAGAGATGGACCGATCTGATATTACATATCGGTATCAGTCCGATACTGACCTAAATTACTGGATGGGATATCGGAGAGAAATAAAAAATGTAATCCGATCCGTTAAATATCACGAAAGCACCTCACAAAACTTGTGACACGATGTAACTCACCTCATAACCGTAGCACGTCGGAGCAGTATGCGTCACGTGATAGAGCCTGTCGGTGGTCTGGTTGAGCATTTGGAGCCAGCATTTCATCTTCGACAAAGTTATCCCCGACAGAAGTAAAGCAAGTGTGTAAGTTCATCTCTGAATGTTTGTAAAGCATTCCCGTTAAGCTTAACAACCGATATATGGAGCGACTGCCTCTTCTCCTGCTGCTACTTCAATCTGAAACTGATCAATGATCAGCTGATCGGCTTTTCTGTCGCGAGTCCGTCTCTCTTGTTTGTTTATCGCCCACTTCGCACCAGAAAGAGGAAACCAGCGGCTGAACAACAGCAGCACGTTTAAGCTTGATAAGCTGTTGTTAGAATTTATTTAATATTACTTTCTACACCAGGATCTTTTTCTATCAGCTGACGGCTGGTAACTGTGCAGGGGCGGATCTAGCAAAGTTTAGCCAGGGGGGCCGATAGGGCATGAACAGGGAAAAGGGGGCACAAAGACATACTTTTCTTTCTTATTCTCATTTAAAATGTCTAGCTTTTAATAAATAATTATCGTACACCCAAAGTTTTAATCTGATGAAAAATGTATAGAAGTCCATTACTGTATATAGTAACTGTTAAGTCTAATATACCCTAGTAAGCTATAGTACTTTTTCCATCTGTGCAGTCTGCAATTCTGTTGAAGAAAGATGTTGAATCTATTTAATTATTCTTGAAAAATAATTTATTTCTGTGCATTTTTTTCCACACTGCATCAAATTAAAGTTGATTACGTCGATTAAGCATCATGAGGTGGAGGGTGGGGTGGTTCCCTATTTTTTTTTTTTTGCTTTGGGTTGCTTTTTTGCAACCCGATATTAGTTAGGTTGCTTAATATTTCTGCTAAGTACTCTTTAAAATACCAGAATAGGGAGGATGGAGTAGGTTTAAGTTTATTAGATTGATCAGTATTGCTGAACTATGAAATATTTTGGGTGCAGTGTATTTTTTGCATACAGGTATAACAGAATAGCTTTAGTGTTTGTGTTTTTGTAACTTGAGTATGAACTTACACAAGCAAGATATTGAAAAAACATTTTATTGATTAAAAAACACACCATATCGGATTCATATCAGTATCGGCAGATATCCAAATTTATGATATCGGTATCGGTATCGGACATAAAAAAGTGGTATCGTGCCATCTCTAGTCTGAATTAACAGTTATGTTTTCATTTTGACATACTGTATTAACACAACTGATCTAAAATCAGACAAAAAACATAAAATCCAAGTAGAAAAAGTTATAGTTTTTACTGTAACAACCACAAACATGTTTAATGAATCGTGTTTCACAACTTTAAATGCAAATATAAATGGTCAATTTTAAAATCATACGCACAAGTTTTGCAAACAACAAAGTTATTTGCAGCCATTTACCTTTTACCCTTTTTTTTTAAAATAACCATTTCAAACTGTTTATGTAACAATCAGCTGTTCTGCATTCAATAAGATGCCACACAAATTATTTCTGCCACTCCAAAAAAATAATTTCTGTCCACTATAAAGGAGAACATCACAGCCTGATACCTGCAGGTCTGACAGCAGCAGGTGCATCACTGCTCCTGTTTTTTTTTACCTGGAGACAGCAGTCGCCTCATTGTTCTGACACACAACACAAAACTATCCACAACACTGCACACTAACTACACAAGAAAACACATTAACTACACACTCCAAACATGCTAAACGTCACAAATTTCGCTCTCTCTTTTTCTGTTGTTTTTCTTTCTCTCTCTCGCTGTCACTCCTAAAACGTCCCCCTCTTCCCAATGTCATGTTACCATATCATTTTTGATTGGTCGACATGGTGCATTTTCCCACCAACACCAAAGGGCTGGGTTTTTTTGTTTTGTTTTTTTATTTTTTGGGTCATAAGCAGAGAGTGCTTGCTAGCGCTGTCCTTAGACAGTAAACGTGACGAAACTATTGAGGAAAAAACGCTGCGTATATATTGTTTATCATGACTCTGGTTTTACGTGGCCTATCAACACAATTTAAAAACTGGTATATATCACCTTGTTGCTTTGTCATCTTGAAGTGGTCATGTGATTGTCTTACCACGACTACTTTATTCTTCCTCAGTCAAACAGCAGCACTCATGTGACTGTTTTGCCCCCTAGCTCCAGGAGTTGTGCCAAAAAGTGATTGCCTGCCAGAAAGTGATCGTCTGCCAAAAAGTGATCGTCTGCCAGAAAGTGATTGCCGCTGTCGGGAGCGCACAGCTGCTTAAAGCTGTAGCGCCCAGATTACTTACAGCTACTTCCGTGCAACTGATATAAGATGCAGTAAGCTGAACACAGCTTCAGCCGTCTGTTTGTTGAAAAATAGTAACGCGACCGCATTTTCTTGTTAGTAACGGTAACGGCATTGTAACAATAGGAATAGTAATTAGTTAGATTACTCGTTATTGAAAAAAGTAACGCCGTTAGTAAAGCCATTACTTGTAATCCCGTTATTTCCATCACTGGTGACAAGGTACCCCATTCTCCCACCAGCTGTAATTTAACATGCTGTTAAACTAAATTCAGTAACTACATTACAGTTACAATTAGGTTCTTCAGTTATCTGCACACCAGTTGGATAGAAAGTTTAAAAAAAAAGTAAAAAAAAAATGCTTCCTTTCTGCATATTTGCGGAAGAGATGGAAAATGCTGGAGTGGTCTACAGCTGAGTTATGGACATTACTTTTATTTGAATTGCACAAAAGGACAAGAGCACAATGATAATGTGCAAACGGTGTCCAGAATAGAAACAAATACTGCTAACACAACATCAGCTCTGTGCAAACTTGCAAAGAGATCATGCTAACACAAAGCTAACCAAGAACCCAGAATGATTTTAAACTTGAGTCCATGCAGAACCCCAGCCCAGCAGCAAGAGCCTGATCTTCAGCAGGTAACAAAGGCACTATGAGGCTTGCAGCCTCTGTTTCTTCCTGTTAATGTTCCTACAGTAGAATCATTGTAGCGACCTTTTTGAAATCTCTTTGAGCTGGTTTTCTACTTTGCTGTGTGTTATCCAGTTTGTGTTCCTGCATTAATGCAAAAAGAAAGATTGTTAAGTGTTAAATCTCGGTATGTGGAGTTGTAGCCTGATTATCACAATGCATTTCAGGTCATTTTACAGTGTTACAAGAAAGTAATGTAATAAATAGTGTAACAAATTGCTTTCTCCAACAAGTAATTAAGTACTATTGGCTATTAGTTTTAAGGAAACTAATCAGTAATGTGTAACAGATATTACTCGTTAGTTTCTTTGAGTAATGACCCCAACACTGCCCACCACACAACAAAAACTGCTAAAGAAGGAACAGGACTAAGAGGCCAAGGCACAGTCCCAGCTCCAAATTTCCCAAGTACTCAGGCTGACTCAGCATCTCCCAAATGCGCCAAAATAAACCAATACACCTGAGGCTCTGCCCTTTAAAGCACATGACACAAAAAGTCTGCTGCCAAGATGCTGGTGCCAGACAAGTGGTACACCGCAAAATTCCCTTGGCCGAGCGCTGAGGTATTTAGGTGGAATGACATGAACAGGAAGGTTGTTTTAATGTTGTGGCCACATAGATGACAGTTCCCTAATAAGCAGAAAATTATTGTTTCTTTGATGATACCTTAAAGTGGTTAATGCATCATTTATAGTCCTGGATTGTTGTCCATTTGTATAGTTCTTTTGCCATGCATGCACAGTCATTCATTCAGAACGTCAACAACGGCTGCCCCTACGGGGGTCCTCCTTGGGCTCTTGTGCTCTGGGGGGCTCTAGATGTCTGGGGCCTGGATCCCCTCCATGCCTGCTTCATGTCCTGCAGGGCTACGGCTCCCCACACCTACTATTAGATAGTTACATTGAGAAACCTTTTGAATACAAGCACGCTTACACACACAGGTGTCCACACAGGCATTCACCTGTTTGTACTCACAGACACAGTATCTTGGTTGGCTACAGCCTCTAAACATTTAGTGCGTTGTCGGTCTTGTGTGCTGCTCAGTAACATTCAATATTTATTTTGTATTGTAACTTATGCTTATGTTGGTTGTTGCTGTGGTTTCCCTACTTTTTTCTTCTGTCTGGTGATCAAACAGATTTTTTGTGTCTTTTCTCTCTTTCTCTTCTTCTCCTCGGTTTTCCTTTCCCTCGCCTTCTGTTGAGTCTCTTCCCAACCCCTCTTTTTTTCATCTTTCTCTTTCCCGTCCACTGGTCATGTCCATTCTGACTGTAATAACTTAAAAGTAAAATAAATTAATAAATAATAAAGATTGAACAAAATATGACAATCAAATGCATTTTTCTTGGCCTTTAGGCAATAATTCTGATTGCTGCAGTGCCAGACAGGACAGGTAAAAGAAAAAAGAAAGTCACCAGCATTTAGCCCAATAAAAATCCTTTTCGAATATTGAAAAAACATAAGTGTGTTTCACAGATAATGGCTGCAATGGGTAATCTTAAATGTTTCATTCGACTACCAAAATGTTTATATTTTGCACAACTTCTGTGTTGTCTGCAGGCGGTACTAAAATAAATGACAAACAAAAGCACAAATATAAGCAAGATTAGCTGAAACAGATGATTTTCCAACACTGTATGCTGTGACAGAGTGTACCTAAAGCATGTAGATGTGGATCTGCAAATCACCATGCTGGCACTTTAATGTATTTCACTCAATTTATTACGTTCTCACTGTGGCCTTTGCTGTATACCTTCATTTCCAGGTGTGTTTCTGAATGTATCTTAGGCAAACTTTACTTGTATGTTTTTAAACTTATTTCACAGAGCTCATCCTCCAGTTGTAATCTCAGATCACCAATGACTTATCTGCTGTATGACCCCAGCATATTGACAGAAATGAGAAGAAAAGCTTTTGTGCGTTCTTTTCCACATACTTGGAACCGTTTGTAGAGGGAAATGAAATTAAAGACCTTGGTTTCCTTTACTCAATCTA